CCCTGAGGATACCAAAATCCGGGGGTGCTCGAGCCCTTAATATAAAATCGCATAGTATTTGCATATAACCTACACACATTCTCCCATATACTTTAAGTCATCTCTCACTTATTTATAATAACTAATACAATGTAAACGCTTTGTAAATAGCTGCCAGCCCATGGCAAGTTCAAGTTTGGCTTTTTGGAACTTTCTGGAATTATTTTTTCATGGATATTTTCAGTCTGTGGTTGGTTGAATCCACAGATGCAGAACCCATAGATATGGTGGGCTGACTATATATATCACTTAGCATTTAGCTTTAAAACCATATGCTATAATATACAGGTCTTGCTTGTGTATTGATTAATCTGTCCCCACATGTTTCATGTTTTTTGATGCTGTTGTAAATTTTATTGCTGTTCAAATTCATTTTCCAGTTGTTCATTGCTAGTATAGGAATACAATTAATTTTTATATGTTGACCTTGTATCCTATATCCTTGCTAAAACTCATTTACTAGTTCTAATAGATTTTTTTTTTTAGGATTTTTTTTACATAAAAAATCATGTAGTCTGCAAAGAAGGATAGGTTTATTTCCTCATTTACAATCTGAATATCTTATAATTTTTTTTTCTTGCTTTTTTTGTACTGACAAGAACTTCCAGTACAACATTGAATAGAAAATGTGAGCGTGAACACCCGTGCTTTGTTCATGTTCTTAGGGGTGCCTTTCCTCATGTAAGAATTATATCGGTTGTAGGTTTTTCATAGAAGGCCTTTGTTAGAATGAAGAAGTTTCCTTCTTTTCCTCATTTGATGCGAGTTTTTATCATAAATGCATGTTAGATTTTCTCAAGTACTTTTTCTATATTTTTTGAGATGATCTTATGATTTATATCTTTTCTTCTTTAATTATGGAGAATTACATTGATTGCTTTTTGAAAGTTAAACCAACCTTAAAGTCATAGGGTGAACCCCACTTAGTCATGGTGTACTATCTTTTTAAGGATTTTGCATCTGTGTTGATGAGAGATATTTCCTATAGTTTTCTTTGCTTATAATGCCTTTGTCTGTCTTTGGTAACGGTGTAATGAATTAACTTGGGAAGGGTTTCCTTCTCTTCTATTTCCTGAAAGAGTTTGTGTAGAAATAGTATTGTTCCTTAAATGTTTAATAGACTTCACCAGTGATGGCATCTGGGCTTAGGGTTATATTTTGGGAAGATCAGAAATTAGAAATTAAATTTTGTTTAATTGGTATAGAGCTATTCACATTTTCTTCTTGAGGCAGTTTTGGTAATTTGTAGCTTTCAAGATATTTGTCCATTTCATCTAAGTTGTTGAATGTATTGGCATAATGTTAGTCTGTAATATTCCTTTATCATCCTTTTAATGTCTATAGGCTCTGTCCTGATGTCCCCTTGTTGCCCCGATATTAGTAATTTGTGTTTTCTTTCCTGTATCCTAATGAGGGGATTAATTTTATTGAACTTTTTAAATAACCAGCATTTGATTGCAAAATTTTTTCTACTGGTTGTCCATTTTCTCATTGTTGGTTTTCTGATTTGTCATTATTTTCTCCTTCTACTTATTTTGGATGGTCTTAGCATCAACATAGATAAGTGAATCATAATATAGTCTTGAAATAGACCCATACATAGATGCTCAATTGATTTTTGAGGATGGTGCAGAAGTTATTCAAGGGGAAAAGATAGCCTTGTCAAGAAACTGTGTGAGAAAACTAGGCATCAATATGGAAAAAAAGGAATCTAAACCCTTACCCCACAACAGAAGCAAACAAACAAAAAAAACTTCATATGATTCATAGATTTAAATGTTAGAACCAAAACTATAGGATTTCTTGAAGGAAAAATAGGAGAAAATATTTGTGACCTTAGGGTAGTCAAAGGTTTTCTAGTTAAGACATAAAAAAGCATAAACAATAAAACAACAATGGAAAAAACCAATAAATTGGGTTTCATCTAAGTGTAAACTTCTGTTCTTTGAAAGATACTGTTAAGAAAATGAAAAAAGCAAGCTACAGTGTGAGAGAAAGTATTTGCAAAACTTATATCTGAAAATGACTTATATCCAAAATATACAAACAGCTCTTACAGATTTATTATAAGACAAATAGTACAATTTTTAAAAAATGGGTAAAATGTTTGGAGATGAGACAAAAAGATATATGAATGACCAGTAACACACGTGAAACAACATTCAAAAAAAGTCACCAGTGAAATTCAAATTAAATGACAGTGAGCCAACACTTCATGGCCATTAGCATGGCTAAATTTGAAAGAGTGACCATACTAAGTGTTTGACAGGCTCTGGAGCAACTGGAAGTCTCATGTATTGCTGGTGGGAATATAAAATGGCACAACCCCTTTGGAAAACAGTATAGAAGTTTCTTTTCTTTCTTTTTTTAAAAAAATAAATAAATTTATTTATTTTTGGCTGCATTGGATCTTTGTTGCTGTGCATGGGTTTTCTCTAGTTGTGGTGAGCGGGGGCTACCTTCATTGTGGTGCGTGGGCTTCTTATTGCTTGGCTTCTCTTGTTGCAGAGCATGGGCTCTAGGTGCATGGGCTTCAGTAGTTGTGGCATGTGGGCTCAGTAGTTGTGGCTCGTGGGCTCTAGAGTGCAGGCTCAGTAGTTGTGGTGCAAGGGCTTAGCTGCTGCTCCGCAGCATGTGGGATCTTCCCAGACCAGGGCTCAAACCCGTGTCCCCTGCATTGGCAGGCAGATTCCTAACCCCTGTGCCACCAGGGAAGTCCCTAGAAGTTTCTTATAAAGTTAAACCTACACTTTCCATATGACGCAGTAATCCCACTCCTGGATATTTACCCAGAGAAATGAAAACGTATGTCCACACAAAGACTTGTACAAGAACGTTCCTAAGAGCCTTATTCACATTAACTCAAAACTGGAAGTTACTCAAAGGTCCATCAATAAGCGAAGGGATAAATAATTGTGGCAGTTAAAAGTAATGAGGTACTAATACATACAACAACAGGAATGAAGCAAAAGAATCCAGACACTAGGGTCCATACTGTATGATCCTATTCATGTGAAACTCTGTAAAAAATCAAATTTACTATAGAGTGACAGAAAACAGGTGAGTGGTTAAGACCAGGGGAGGGGGAGAATAACAGGCAAGGGGTAAAAGGGAATCTTTTGGAGTGTTGGAAATAATTCTTGATTGTGGCAGTACTTAGTTCTGTGTATTGTCAAAATTTATCAAACTGTACCCTTTAATAAGTGTATTTTATTATATGTAAAATTATACTGAAGTAAAAGAAGTTTCTTGTTTAGTGATTATCAAATCTGGTTGTACTTCAGAATCATCTGCTAAGCTTTTTAAAGTGTACATTCTTCTACCCTATGTCATACCCAAAGAATCAATGTTCAGCATTAGGCCTTGCTCATTTGAGGTTCTTAAGAGTTTCAGAGGTGATTCTGATTCTCAGTGGGACTTCAAAAATAATTTATTTTCTTCCATGACTTTTCATTCTTAAGACTCCTAGGATCTAATAAAGTGAAATTTTAGTTATAAAAGACATTACTGAGTTTTTCATGGATTCACATCCTGCTTTCATTAATGGCTTTTAGAAGAACTTTATATTACTTATTTTGAAAGTTTGCTATTTTTAATAGCATATGCTTACATTGTTAAAATAGGAAATATAAGAAAAATTCGCATTATATCACATTTCTGAGTGTATGAAATGAGCTATTGAAATGTCCTGTTTAGTCCTTCAGTCTCATACCCCTAATTACTAATGATTTGATGCATATTTTCTAGATATTTCCCTATGCTTATAGAAAAGAGATATATTCTAATCTAGTTTTATATGTTTTTAAATAGTCATTTATATATTTAAGTAGTATGCGTTGAGTGCCTGCTCTGTGGCAGCCGTTACACTAGGCCCTGAGGCTATTGAGCCAAAGAGATATCTGCTCTCCTGTGATGTTGTCAGATGGGAGGATAGATGTTGATTAAATAAAAACACAAACATATATATTAAAACTGTAGCAAGTGTTACAGAAGACAATTATAGAATGTTGTAAGATTACATAGTAAAGATTAAAACCTTTTTTGACCCTTTTACCCTAGTTTGGTTCCATCCTTTGAAAAGTGTGCTTTTTCTAAAGTATTTGGTACTGCTTGGGTAGTATGAGTATTCATTTGGATGAAACAACTTGCACATGAACATCCACATATTAAAGTATTATTTTCTCCTCTCATTGTTAGTCAGCATTTTTGTATTATTTTAAAATACTAAGAAAACTTAAATATTTAACTTAAGTGACAAAAGATTGAAATAAGATTCACTCAGCAAATATTTATAAGTACCTCCCTGAGTCTTGGTCTGTGATTATCATTCAGTTATATCCTATACAACATTTTGTAACTAGAACAACAATAGCAACTTGAAAATGGCAATTTGTTCTGGCAGCATATTTTTGGTGCTGTCAGAGGAGTTATTACTGTTGGAGTGTGTCAAACAGTGCTTTTAAAAATATGTTACACAATATACTAATTGTATTTGATATTAATAGAGAGTATGTGGGGTGGAATTTTTGTGCTCATGCAAGTTTAGGAAATGGAGAGCTAAAGTTAAACATTTTTAGCTCTAGGTATTTTCAAAACTTTTAATATGTTACATTCTGAATCTTTTAAGATGGAGCTGTAGTACACAGTGACTCTCTTTCTGATCATGGAACCCTTTCCTCCTTGCCTTATAGTTCTATGAATAGATATTTAAGGAAAGAAATAAATCTCCAGTAGTATCTAAAAAAATCGTAGTGGCATGTTTTAAAGATGCATGATAATTTTAATGTAAAACATTATTGTTTAAACATGATTTTTTTCTCTCATAAGCACCATATCTGTATTTTATATTTATATGCTGAGCTTTGGGGAATTAATTTACATATAAGGAAAGAATTATTTCTCCATTCTTGCATCCTAAACTGGGAAAGGAAAATGAAATTTATGTTTCTCTTATATTTCAGAACAAAGTAGAAGAGATGACTTAGAAGCTTTAGGTCATATGTTCATGTATTTTCTGAGAGGCAGTCTTCCTTGGCAAGGTTTAAAGGTAATTGTTTTTCTGTTTCCTTATTGAATTTCATAAATTGTTAATATATTAAGATACTCTCTTCCACGTATTTAATTTTAAAATTATGTCTCAAGATTCTTTTTCTTTCTGTTTTAGGCTGACACATTAAAAGAGAGGTATCAGAAAATTGGAGATACAAAACGAGCCACACCAATAGAAGTGTTATGTGAAAATTTTCCAGGTAATGAATAATGCTGCTTGATACATGTGCTTATTATACACAGAAAACTAGAACTGTTCATTTTCATTGCTTAAGTTGATAAGTACTTTTTTCATGCTTAAAAAATATGATTCAAAAAATGTCAGCAGGACTTCCCTGGTGGCACAGTGGTTGGGAGTCCGCCTGCCAATGCAGGGGACATGGGTTTGATCCCTGGTCCGGGAAGATCCCACATGCCGTGGAGCAGCTAGGCCCATGCACCACAACTACTGAGCCTGAGCTCTGGAGCCTGCGAGCCACAACTGCTGAGCCTATGTGCCACAACTGCTGAAGCCCGTGCGCCTAGAACCCATGCTCCACAGCGAGAGAGGCCGCTGCAATGAGAAGCCCGTGCACCACAACGAGTGGCCCCTGCTTCTCACAGCTAGAGAGGGCCTGCGTGAAGCAACAAAGACCCAACGCAGCCAAAAATAAATAAATAAATAAATAAATTTTTAAAAGGAAAAAAGAAGATGTCAGCATTTGATACACAGACCACAGGGCAATGTGTATATTCGCTTTTGTAAAACGGTATTAATGGAAGAAAATGCATCTTTTAATAGTGTTGACCAGTACCAGCTAAAGTAATATTTTCTTCAGTAGCATACTTTTAATAAGTTGAAATATTTTCTTAGAAATACTAACTAAAGTTTTGGTATCCAGTATTAGTCATTTGAGTCTCAATGTCAAGCTCAAAGGAGGTATGTGATATATGATTTAGTCTGGTTTTCCAAGTACAGTAAAATCTTACTAACCTTACTACTTTTAGGCTAGTTTTGTATTGGGGAGCTTTATGAAGATAGATTTGCTCTCATGTAGATTTTTGGCAACTCACGTGAAATCAACAAAAATTTACTTAAGTTTCCTAAATTAATTAAGGGATAAGAATAATGTGTGCCTAATGTGTTAAAATACCTGTTGTGATTTATGCAATAACATTAAATGAGAACCAAACTTGAAGATAGAAGATGGAACTTATATCTCACTTCAGTATTTACAGATTCTCCTGTACAGTGCTGGCATTATTACTGTAATAGTATCAGCAGCATAATCTCAGGTAGCCCTTTTTCAAGTTTGCTTTTATTATTCATTGACAGTAAACTTTAGTTATGTATTTTGCTTTCTTGCTATAACATATAGAACTGGAAGATTAAAAGAAAAAATTGGTTGATAGTACTAACAGTTTAGGTGTAGGCAGATTGGCTATACCTTATTAAGAAGCTTATACAAATTTCTGCAGGAAAAATGGGGGTGCCAAAGTAAATTAGCCAGGTGATTAGCTAGAAAGTGGAATAGTGGGAGAGTCACCATGTGACTGGGTCACTGGATGCTACTTTCATGCCTGTTAGGCTATGGGTGATCCTTTTCTTATTAGCTGCCATGAACAAATTGGATCAAAAAAGCAGCTAGGTGTAACCTACCATCTCTTATGATAGTGCTTTTATGTGCTCTGATGGTTAAACACTGTTTTACTAATTGCTGTCCATTTTGCTTATTGATTTTTATGGCTTTTTCTTTCTTTTACTTCTGGAAAATATGACCTTTAAAAAATATATATTTCTAATATATTTGGGAATTATAATAGCATGCAAAGGTTTATGTATTATGAAATAATTGTTACATTTATGACCAGAAATTAAGAGAAGAATTAAACTGTCCTCCTGAAGCTGTTTTAGTTAGCTTTATGTTGCTAGGTCAGTTGATTAGAATACCATTTAGCCAAGGTTAAGAATTTGAATCTTCTATTGGTCATTTAGCGTCACTGATTCTAAAGGAAATCCAGCAAGGTAGTGCAAATGCTTTCATGTATAAATCTATTCCTATCAGTATGTAAAATAATTTTAAAAAATATGAGCTTAGTTTGGTGTTTTGTGATTAAATAATTATGCATTATTAAGTTTGTATTTCTACCTTGAATACTGTCCAAGGTTTCTATTAAAAATAATGTAAAATAAAAATTTTAGCCTTTCCTAATGAATTGAAACAAAAATAATGTTTGCTAAATCTCTGATTTATCTTTTGTCCCTATTTCCTTTCTTCCCTTCTTTCCCCTTTTTAATTTCATTGTTATTAAGTTCATAATATTTTAAATTTTAGTAGAATTTTGTTACTTTTTCATGTTTTTATAATACCCTGTGCTTTTGGATATTTATAATTTTATTATTAATGAGTATTAGAAAAGTTTAATGAGAGAAAATTTTTATTTCCGTTCTAGAAGAAATGGCAACATATCTTCGTTATGTAAGAAGGCTAGATTTTTTTGAAAAACCAGACTATGACTACCTAAGAAAACTTTTTACTGACCTGTTTGATCGAAAAGGGTATATGTTTGATTATGAATATGACTGGATTGGTAAGCAGTTGGTGAGTACTCTAGGCTATATAATAAAAATAAAAGATTATTTGTAGTACTTAACCTTCTTTTTCATAGTACAGATCCTTTATTTAAAAAGAGTTGAGAACAAATAATTTTTTATTTTGAAGTATAGTTGATTTACAATATTATATTAGTTTTAGGTGTACGACATAGTGATTCAATATTTTTACAGATTATACTCCATTTAAAGTTATTACAAAATAATAGCTATATTTTTCTGCACTGTACAGTATATCCTTATTGTTGATTTATTTCATCATAGTAGTTTGTCTCTTAATCCCATACTCCTGTCTTGCCCCTCCCGCCTTCTTTCTCCTCACCGGTAACCACTAGTTTGTTCTCTATATGTGTAAGTCTGCTTCTATTTTGTTATATACATTTGGTTGTTTTATTTTTTAGATTCTACATATCAGTGATAACAGAGTATTTGTCTTTCTCTGTCTGACTTATTTCACTAAGCATAGTACTCTAGGTCCATCCACATTGTTGCAGATAGCAGAATTTCATTCTTTTTTTTATGGCTGAGTAATATTCATATGTGTGTGTGTGGGTGTGTGTGTGTGTATATCCATATCTATATCTGTATCATCTCCATATCTTCTTTATCCATTCGTCCGTTGGGCACTTAGTTTGCTTCCATATCTTCAATATTTTGGCTATTGTGAATAATGCTGTTATGAACATTGGGGTGCATTAGTGTTTTCATTTTCTTTGGATATATACCCAGCAGTGGAATTGCTGGATCATATGGTAGTTCTGCTTTTAGTTTTTTGAGGAATCTCCATACTGTTTACCATAGTGGCTGCACCAATTTAAATTCCCACCAATAATGCACAAGGGTTCCATTTTTTCCATATCCTCACCAACACTTATTATGTCTTGTCTTTTTTATAGTGGCCATTCTGACAAGTGTGAGGTGATATCTCATTATGGTTTTGATTTGCATTTCTCTGATGATTCGCAGTGTTGAGCATTCTTTAATGTACCTGTTAGCCATCTGTATGTTTTCTTTGGAAAAATATTTATCCAGGTTGTCTGCCCATTTTTTAATTGGGTCCTTTGTTTTTTTTGGTATTGTATGAGCTGTTTATAAATTTTGGATATTAACCTCTTGTAGGTTATATCATTTGCAAATATTTTTTCCCATTCAGTAGGTTGTCTTTTCATTTTGTTGATGGTTTTCTTTGCTGTGCAAAAGCTTTTAAGTTTAATTAGGTCCCATTTGTTTATTTTTGCTTTTGTTTCTCTGCCTTAAGAGACATATCTAAAAAATATTGCTACAATTTATGTCAAAGAGTGTTCTGCTTATGTTCTCTTCTAGGAATTTTATGGTTTCATAGATAAAGGTCTTTAATCCATTTTGAGTTTATTTTTGTATATGGTGTTAGGAAATGTTCTAATCTCATTCATTTACATGTAGCTGTCCAGTTTTCCCATCACCACTTATTGAAGAGACTGTCTTTTCTTCATTGTATATTCTTGCCTCCTCTTTCATAGATTAATTGACCACAAGTGTGTGGGTTTATTTCTGGGCTGTCTGTTCTACTCCATTGATGTATGTGTCTGTTGTTGTGCCAGTACCATGTTGATTTGATTACTGTAGCTTTGTAGTATAGTCTGAAATCAGGGAGTGTGATACTTCCAGCTTTGTTCTTTTTTTCTCAAGATTGCCTTGGCATTTCAGGGTCTTTTGTGGTTCCATATACATTTTAGGATTGAGAATAAATAGTTTTTTAAAGGGTTCATTTTATTTCTTTTTTATGGATTTTTCAGGTAGCATAATATAAAAATTATTCTTTGAATTTTGTAAAAACTTACATTTGGAGTCTACTTTTTAGAGTGATGAGTTATTTTGAATGTTTTACTTCTGATTTAGTTCTTAATGTCAAATATACTTTTTAAAAATATAATATTCTAGTGATAACTTTTAAAAGATCAGCTAGTTTTTTTCCTTTAGTCATCTTTCAAAGCATTTGTAATTTTAAAATATGTGTTAATTATTCTAGCAGTTTTAGGTTATCTTGGAATAGACTGATACTTATATATTGGAGCATGTTTAGGTTTTTAAAACTGTACCAAGTTTTCATAGTTAAAAAATTGTCTTGATCATAACTGTGGGATGGGTGTCATTACTTAAATGAAGTTATCGTTAAGTTCTTTCTTTGAAGTGGTGACTTCCAGAAAATCAAATATGTATTCTCACTGGTCTTTTTTTTTTTTTTTAATAAGAAAAAAATAAGAATGCCTTACAAAATTTTCTATAATTATAATTTTCTATAATTATTTCTATAATTATGGCTCGCTGTTAGCAATTTTTTTTCCAAATTTGGAACTGCTGAACTCTCAGATTCAAGTATTTTTGAACAACTGACTTACTTAAGCGTTTAATCTGTATTTTTCTTAACTCCAAAGTGATTTGAATATATATGGTATCTAAAATGCAAATCTGGATATACTTTGATTAAAGTATTTATATGAAGTTTTGAATTATATTTGAAAATTTAAATTTTATATAAGCCTCTTCTGAGCTAAAATATTGACAGTAAACAATTTTATTAGCTTATTTAAAAAATTATTCCCTTAATTTTCTTAAAATAATTTTTTCTGTTTATATATTGGCTTTGGAAATGAGAAACATAAACAAATACACTTTCATTTTTTGATATGAAAAAGTAACCTAAAAGTAATGACAGTATTAGAAGGTCTTTTGTTGATATAAAAATAAATACTTGATAAAGTATTTAAATATTTTGAAAATACTTTAAAAAGTAGCTATAATCTCTTTATTGTATTTAACAACATATTTTAGGAAAGATATCTTTTCTTAAGGCCTTACTTTATTTAACAGTGTCTTTTTTTTTCCTTGATTATGTTAAGTAGCTAAATAATTTTAAACAAGAGTTCTGAAATTGAATGCATTGATTCTAATTGTTATTGTATTGTAGCCTACTCCAGTGGGTGCAGTTCAGCAAGATCCTGCTCTGTCATCAAACAGAGAAGCACATCAACACAGAGATAAGATACAACAATCCAAAAATCAGGTTTGCTGCCCTTTTAGATATGAAATGTCTTAATTTGCTTCTGTATTACCTTCTCACAGTTTATAAATATATTTGGTGTTTTATCATGTGCAGATGACAGCTTTATATGTGTATGCATTTGCGTGTATACATACTTGTATATATGTATTGAAGGATTGAAATACATATTTTTTTCTTTTATAAAGCAGACTACATACACACATATTAAGAATAGAAAATGCATATATTTTCAATAGCTAGACTCTTT